ACCTTTCATCAGGCTGACCACCTCCATCCGCCTTTCCTCCCCAGCTCCCCAGCAGCCCACTACGCCGGGTCTGGGGATAGAGTCCAATCTCACCAGGCAATCTCCTCAAGGTTGTTCGCAATTATTTTTTGCGCATTAGTCCAGCTTGCTGGACCCTGCCTAAGAAACCACCAAGTGCAGGCCCAATACTAACCTGGACCTCACCGACTCACTCACCAGATAGCACCACCCAGGAAAAGAGAAAAGTGGGGACCTAGCCCCCAGAACTCCTCTTTATAGAAGAGAGAAGTGGCGCTGAAATGAGAGGCTCCCGACAGGACAACACTGCCATCTCCTGGCCATGCTGAATATAGCAAGCCTCTTGCACTAAGCTGCACAATACCGTCCCAACGGTATTGATCGGCTTCGTATTGACATGAACTCCCTCCTGATCCCCTCCACCACCCTAGCGATGAGCTTGAGGTAATGACTTATAATTTTTTTTTTTTTGAGACGGAGTTTCGTTCTGGTTGCCCAGACTGGAGTGCAATGGCTCAATCTCGGCTCACTGCAACCTCTGCCTCCTGGGTTCCAGCATTCTCCTGCATCAGCCTCCCGAGTAGCTGGGATTAGTGGAGGGCCTTTTCCATCAGCTGGCTGAATTCCACCAAGAGTTTCTCGCTGTTATACCTGTTTTTCCTTCTGCCACGCCATCCCTTCGTCTGCATGTTCCCTGTCCACATCTCTTCACACACCACACCTGGCCTTTTTCCTTCCATGATCACAATTTCTGGAGGCATTTTCTATCTTTCTCCTCAGCTCCTTCAGCATTTCCTGGCTTTAATCATCTTGAAATCCCTGAGAATTCAAATTTTAAACGCAGAGCTTTTGATCTCATTTGACAAACATAAACTCTGGGGCCCTATTCCCAGAGGAAGTCACCGTCAGGAACAACCAGTTCTAAGCTCTGACATGAAAAGACCCATCTCTTGCCTGTACCACCCATCCTCCTCAAAGCCCCCCATTCCTTCTTCCTGGATATCTCACCAATCTAGGCCCTCCTCCCCTTCTCCGCCACTTCTGCCACAGGCCAAGGAAGTTATGACCACTTGCCTGAACTATCACAATAGCACTCAACTTGCCTGTGAGTCCTTATCCTTCCTCCAAAACCTCCCTCAACACCCCCAGCCCTGTTCTCTATCCGATCACCAGACTGATATTTCCAAAATATGCATCTGACCTTGTCACTCCGAGGTTTAAAAACCTGTGTGTTCCCCGCTTTCCACATGCTTTCGTCTGAGCAGTGGCTCTCAACCATGGTCTACGTTGGAATCCTTGGGGGCACTTTAGGAAGCTCAGGTGCACAGAACTCACCTGAGACCCGCTGGAGCAGAGCCTGTGGAGGGGAGGGGAGCTTCTGTACCCATGGAGGCCCCCCACTGACAGGCAGTGGGCACCGAGAACCACAGTACTGGCCTGGCAAAGGAAGAATCCCCACCCATCTCACCAGCCTGTCTCCCCACCAAGCTCTCCTCACCCCAGTAAGAAACCATTCTGCCCCCCTCAGACATGCCACACTCCACACTTTCTCTTCCTTGCTGCCAAGTCTCCTGTACCCGATGGGTCCCACCCCCCTGGGGCCTCTGGTTTCTTCCCCCCGGAACTCATCCTTCCAGACTTAAAGCCGACATCACATCCCCGTGAAGCTCTCTCCCTTGGCACCCCGGCAGGATGAGTCACCCCGACTCTGCCCACAGTGTTCAGTCCACCTCCCTGTGGACTCACTCTCCCCGGTTTGTTTCCACAGCTCCCTCTGCCACCACTCCAAGAGCTGCTGGCGGGCTGCATTTGTGTTCTGTTCATCACTGTCTTGCTCGTGTCCTGCATAAAAGGCAACACTATGGAAACTTTACCAAGACTTCTATCTTTGCATCTACCCTAGTGCCTGGCTTGCAGCCTGTCCCTTCTATGAGAGCTTTTGTTTGCTTTAGTTTGTCCTAAAGGGTAGAAATTGTTCCTATAAGCTTCAAAACCTTGATGGCTCATAACCTGGTTCTAAGAAAATGGACTCTCTAAAAAGCAGGTCTATCCAGAAACTCATTCCATGGGCCCATATTCAGCTACCAGATGGGAAGTTGTGAGCACTGGTCACGTCAAAATGAGGTTAGGCATGGAAGTTTCCAGTTGGAATGTTCTCCTCAGTCAGACAAAGTCCCCTTGAAAATGAGTTTCTCCCAACTTCCTTCCTGGTCCCCAGCAGAACCTTTGAAAGGTCAGCTGAGGTTTTCGTCACCCGCTCCTTTGTGCACCATGGGTCCTGCAGGCAAAAGAATGTAAGAAATAGCTCCTGTTTCCCAAAAGTCCTCCTCTTGGCCAGTGGTGGAGAAACCCTGGGGTCAATGAACACAGGGGTGTGCGTTTTATAATTTGCTACCATCACAGACTCCTCCAGAGCAAAAAGACCACCAGCAGCTCCCTCACGCCAGAGCTACTCAGAGTGGACACCACTCCAGCAGCAGCCCTCGGCCCAGACCCACTTAACCAGAGTGTCTGGGGAAGGGACCCCATAATCTCTGTGTTAACAAGCATGTTCAAAGTTGAGAAGGATTGCCAACAACCACCAACCTTGGCGCGAAGTTGATCTCTGGGATTTGATCCATTTTGCAAAGCAGGCAGTTTTCTAAAAAGCCTGGACCACTGTGATGAGCCCAAAGCTTCGGAATCACAAAGTTGAGTACCCTACATGCAAACAGGGTCATGGAACAGCAGAAGGGAATTCCAGCTAGGTGCGGCGGCTAGCACCTATAGTCCCAGCTACTTCCCGAGTCGAAGCTGGAGGATCATTTGAAGCCAGGAGTTCAAGACCAGCCTGGGCAACATAGCGAGACCCTGCTATATATCTATAGAGACAGACATAGATATAGATATAGATACAGATATAGATATAGATATATACGTATAGTTGGGCATGGTGGCACTCACCTGCAGTCCCAGCTACTTGGGAGGCTGAGGTGGGAGGATTGCTTGATTCCAGGAATTCAAGGTCACAATGAGCTATGACCACTCACCTTTTTTTAAATTCCCTTTATTCTTCCTCACAACACCAGAAATTAAAAGGGAGAGATTTACACTGCTTTCCTCACACAGCCTGGGTGACAGTGAGACTCCATTTCTATTAAATAAAACAATAAAAAACTTAAAAAATGTTTTTAAAAGAAGAGAATTTGAGGAGAAGACTTGGAATTGGCAAGTTGTGCAGACAGACCTTTAAGACAGATGAGGAGACCAGCCTGGGTAAGAGAGCAAGACTCCATCTCTACAAAAAAGTTAAAAAATTAACTGGGCACAGTAGCATGTGCCTATAGTCCCAGCTACTCAGGAGGCTGAGGCGGAAGGATTGCTGGAGCCCAGGAGTTCAAGGCTGCAGTGAGTCTTGGTCATGTGACTACACACAGCAGCCTGCATGACAGAGGGAGACCCCATTCAAAAACAAAAAAAGACAGACAAGGAGATTAGCTCAGGCTCAGGCCCTGACAAAGCTAGATCAAGACCAGGAGAAATCTGGTCAATCTCTGTAAACATCTCCTCAGAGAGGCTTCATAGTCCAACACCATGTAATACCCTCATCTTCTCATCCTACTTTTTCTTTCATGACACTTCCTACTTCCTGTAACTACACATTTTTTTTTCCTTTTTTTTGGATGGAGTTTCACTCTTGTTGCCCAGGCTGGAGTGCAATGGCGCGACCTCGGCTCACCGCAACCTCTGCCTCCCAGGTTCAAGTGATTCTCCTGCTTCAGCCTCCCTAGTAGCTGGGATTACAGGCATGTGCCACCATGCCCGGCTAATTCTGTATATTTAGTAGAGATGGGGTTTCTCCATGTTGGTCAGGCTGGTCTCAAACTGCCAACCTCAGGTGATCCGCCCACCTAGGCCTCCCAAAGTGCTGGGATTACAGGCATGAGCCACCGCGCCCAGCCGTAACTACACATTTATTTGTTGTTTAATGTCAGCCTAGAACCACGAGAATATTAGCACAAGGACGGGATTATGATGTTATGTCCTTGATTAACACCAATGCTTAGAATGGAACTTGGCACATAATAGGGCTTCATCTCTATTTGTTGAACGAGTGAATGTAAACAAATGAATGAATGACAGCACACAAGCTCCATTAATACAAAGATAGTGTCTATCTCGCTCACCTGTGTTTCCCCAGGCACACTGCCTGATACAAAGCAGACAAACACTTAATAAACTCTTGTTGAATCAATTAATAACATGCAGGTACATTTTTTCATCGTCAGTGTCAACACTAAAACTGTATTTCACTGAGACCACTCATTGTCAGAGCAAGCAGTTCCGTGGTGTTGCTTAATGTGTGTGTCTGGGGAAGGAAGGCAACAGAGGGGGTGCTGAAGACTTTAAAGGTTGACAGACACGGTTTCAGGAGTATGGTTTGACACTTACCCAGAGGTTAAAATGTGGAGACACCTAGGCCATAGACTACACCCTTGTCCTGGAGGGGTATGGCAGCTTTCAGGGCATTGCCTTCTTTCCCATTCACTCACTTCTGTATTCTAAATACCATTATTTCCCATCATGCAAATCAGAGTCCACAGCCAACCAAATTCCATTACAATGCACAAATTGTACCTTCACTTGCACTTAGGTTCAATTTAGAATTCAAGGGCACTTATGTGGGGGGAAATAACACAAGGCAATTTTTTTTTTAATCAAGGGGTTTATTATTTTTTTTCTTCAATAGGAATTTAAGTTACTTCATTGGTCACTGACTTTGCTACAGAAAACCCTCCAAAATGACAGAAAATAAGCAAAAAGGATCTGATCTTGCCAACTGTTCGATCAAACAGTGAGACTCACGGTGCCGAGCACTCCCAGAAAACCCAGGGCTCCAACAGCGCGGGGCGGGGAAAAGAGGGAGTCTGAAGCCTGGTAGGCATGAACGGGAGTTGCAGAAGAGTCTTTGGGAGGAACCAATTATCAAGAGAGTCAAATTATTCAAAGTTGAAATGAGTGAGAATTTATTCACAACATATGCAGTTCTATGGATGCAATTATGCAAATGACTGAAAAGAGGGCGCTTAAAAATAGCAGTAAGGCGGCAGTTTTGGTCTCCAGCATGCTGGATACTAGTCAGAACTTAGCTAAACGTGAGTCCATCTTAGCCCCTTTTATTCCCTTTATTCTTCCTCATAACACCAGAAATTAAAAGGGGGAGGTTCACACTGTTTTCCTAAAAACCCAGTGGGAAAGGAGTTGACAAACGTCCAGTTGCCTCAGCCCTAACCCCTGGGTCATGAGAACCCCCCTTCTGTGCTTCTTTCTAGAGAAAAGATTTGCATTAGCAGAGCTTTAATACATAGATGTAAATTTCCAGAGATTTCCAATTGGTGAAGTGTTGGGTGATTCCTTCTCTTGCCCTAATCCAGTATATTTGTTGCCGAAGATAAGCTGAGAAACCTTGCCGTTCCAGTCCTGTCTTTCCTACGCATACTGTGTAACTACTGTTTTGATTTTCAAGACCCTCATAAAGACGGGCAAAAATGCAGGTGAGAGGGAAGGAACCTCCATGGCTTGAAGCTTGGTGACATGATTTGTTCTCTGGGCTATCAGGCGATCCCAGAACCCAGAGGCTCTGAGCACTCCCAGACCCCAGTCACCACTACCCACCCCGCCCCAAGCTCCCACAGCTGGTGTTGTCTCCTGCAAGGACTGCTCACACAGGCCATCAGAACGTTCGCAGCCTTCCTCCCAGCGTCCGCTTCTTTCTGCCCAGGACAGGCTCCTTGCTGTAGCCATGAGGGCGGATTTTCAACTCCACGTAAGGAATGGAGAATTCATGTCCTTTCCAAGGCTCCCAGTTCACCCCCTACATAAAATACATAAATAAATAAATAAAGCCACATCAAGAAGAGGCTCTTGGGAGGAGGGCAGGGTGGGTTATGGTACAAAGGAATTAATTAGTCACCAATGAAACCACTCCCTCTTTGCTCAGGGGAAAGAGACGGGGGTGATGAGAAGGGAAGGGAGGGCAGGATCCAAACACACGCGCCCTCTGCTGGGCAGCTGGGGTTAGACTGGCTGAGGACTTGGACATTTGGAAGCTGGCGGTCTCTATGGTGGGAGCAAGGGGGTGTGAGCCCAGGAGGTGGGTGAGGCCAGAGCAGCCACAGAGACAACACAGGGGTCAACCAGGCCGGCAACGGGCAAATTATCTTTGCTTCCCTCTTTTCCTTTCCAAAAATTAAAGGCAAAAATAAACATATTAATTGGCCAATTGTGTAAAATCATTTTCAATTTAGACTGTTTAGATACTAGCTCTGGGGTAACAAATAGCCTGCTGAAAACTAAATTTCATTTTATGTCTTTTGACTGGTGAGTGCAATAATATTTAATTCACTTAATAACCTTGCAACCTGGCCAATAAAAAGCCCAAGTGACCAATTTTATGTATTTTAATTTGTGAGGTAAATAATAAACAAGAAGCTAAATGCCTTGCAGACTGTGAAAAGCGCATTAACCAGATGAATGTCTTTTATTAGCAAATATGGGATGGTTCAGGGCATCCTGCTTGCTCATTTCCAATATTTGATCTCCTATCCCAGGCTTCCCTGAGCCAGCCCACACGCTGCCACCGTGATTCATGGGCCAACCCTCCCCAGCTTCCCTGGGGGCAAATTTCTTCTTCCCTTTGAAAAATCACATAAAGATTGGAAGTCCCCGCAGCCTGGTCAGAGCCAAAGTAATCAAAATGTACCTGGACTTTGGATGTGCTAATATTTACAGTAATATTGGTACAAGGTGAGTTCTGAAGAGGTGGCTTCCTGGAGGCCTAGGATCAGGGCTGTGGATGGGAAATTAGAAACCTAGGATGGGGACTCAGGGTTTGTGGAGGGGAGAGGATTAATGATGAGCAGAGACAAAGATGCAATTTTCAAGAAACTGTGAGGGAGCAGGCAGGAAGTGCCCTGCAGCTGTCAAAGAGTCAGGATGATGCACTGGGGCAGAGGAGGCTTGAGAAATAGCAGGTGGGACAGTTTCAGAGCAATGTGGGGAGAGGACCCCTCCTGGACCCCTGGGCCCTGGGTGCACACTCCCAATGCGGAGAGACTGGTCTAGCTCAATGTTCTGGGCAGGCTTTGGGTGAAGTGGACCCAAGAGTCGGTCTGACCTAAGGCACAAAAGACTGTTTTCCTGGTGATCAAAGGACTTGAGACAAACAGCTTTTTTTTTTTTTTTTTTTTTTTTTTTGAGACAGGGTCTTGCTCTGCCACCCGGGCTGGAGTGCAGTGGCTTCATCATGTCTCACTGCAGTCTCAACCTCCTAGGCTCAAGTGATCTTCCTATCTCAGCCTCCCTAGAAGCTGGGACTACAAGTGCACACCATGATGCCCAGCTAATTTCTGTATCTTTTGTAGAGATGGGGTTTCATGATGATACCCAGGCTGGTCTCAAATTCCTGGGCTCAAGCAATCAGCCCACCTCAGCCTCCCAGAGTGCTGGGATTACAGGCATGAACCACCGTGCTCAGCCAAAAGAAATAGTTCTTGTTCAACTAGGAGAAAAACTAGAAAAAAGTAGGCAGTGTTTATTATAAACTGAATGTTTGCGTCTCTTCAAAATTCATGCAGTAAAGCCCTAACCACCCCCTACCAACATGATGGTATGTAGAGGGGGCCTCTGGGAGGTAATAAGGTTTACATGAGACCATGAGGTGGAGCCCCCATGATGGGACACATGCCCCTATATGAAGAAGAGATCAGAGCTCCTTTCTGTCCACCATGTGAGGACGCACAGCCATAGTCAGCCATCCACAAGCCAGCAAGGTCCACCAACAAGAACCAAATCTGCCAGCACCCTGATCTTGGACTTCCTAGCCTCCAGAACTGTGAGAAATAAATGTCTGTTGTTGAAGCCACCTGGTCTGTGGTATTTTGTTACAGCAGCTGGAGCTGACAGTGTCCATGTGTGAGCTAGTGAAATGAGACAGTGTGTGGAGCACATCATCTGTCATTACATGGCAGTGGGCAGCCCAAGCCTTCCCCGCACCTGCCCCTAGGCAAGTGTGCAGCACTGGGAATGCAAAACAAGCAGGGCTGTGGCCATCAGGAAGGGGAGGCCACAACCTCAAGGCCATGGAGCCTGGAGGAGAAACTCTACTGCTTTGACTGGAAGCTTCAGAAGGAGAGGGGCTGCCAGACTGGCCTGGAGGGTGTCCCTTTGGAAGCTGAATGTGGGCACACCCTGGGACAGAAAAGACATTCACTTGTCACCTACCTCACTGTGCTTGGTCTCCCCATATCTGCCATTGGGGTTGGCCAAGTGGCAGTTCTTATACCACCAGCCACCATGATGTGTCAGGGCACAGTTGCTGAGTGCAATATCGTTGTCTCTGTCGAAAGTTGTAAACTTCCATCCATTGTGGTAAGAAAGAGCATCCCCTGCAGGAGAGAAGAGACAGAGGTGAGAGCCCAGGGTTAGCCACCAAGGAGATGATCAAAAGAGGACCCAGCAGGAAGATCTCCAGGCATGAAAATGCCAAGGATGCAGCCAGTCATGTCACAGGTAGTCACTGCTCTCTCACAGCCCAGATGGGAACATGACACATGTGAACAGGCTCTTTTTCCTGGCCTGTACCCCAACTTCAGGCCTGTTTCTCCAACAGTCCTCATAGCGTTTTCACTTGGAAGCTCCACAGTCAGATCAAACATCCAAACATAACAACTCTCCCCAAGTCCCTGACCACGCCACACACAAGAGCACCACTCTCCACTCTCCCCCGTCTGCCTTGGGTCCACTCCTCTCCCCACCACCCAGACCTGGAACCTGGAGCCATGTTTGACAATCCCTTCATACCCTTTCTCAAGCCCTCCCTCCTGCAGATCACTCACATACACCCCTACGTCTCTGCTCCCATGACACCTGCCCTCGGCCTTCTCTCATCCTGGGTCTGTGTTAACAAAACAGCCTTCTCTCTGGCTTTTTGCCTGCCTGCCAGCCCCTCTGGAGTTCAGACGTCCATTTTCATCACCTCAGGCCCAACAGTCTACTTCGTACCACAACGAGGTGAATTCCTGTTCCGTGCCTTGCAGGCCTGGAGGTTGGCTGTGCCCTGTGCACAATCTTGCATCCCACCATCTCCACCACGCACCTTCCAGTGTGGACCAGCCCACCGTCCGGGGGATTTCTCTCTGCCCTCATCTGTCCAAATAATCCTAACCATCCTTCAAAGCCTAGCTCAGGCCCACTTGTAAGGAAGATTCTCCTTACTGGTCCTCCCACGCACCCTCCTAACACACACACAAACACACGCACATGCACACACACACACACAAACACATCCCTACACACAAACATCCCTGAACTTCCAGAGTCCTTCTGGAGACACATGTAAAATTCAGTCCTTCCTTACATCCCATCTGGAAAACTGCCTTAATTATTTTGCTTGTGTATCTCCTGTTTCCCTCTCACATTTGTCATCCTTTTATAAACTTTCTTTTCCTGCTCATAAAAGGCAATAAGGGCCCATATCAATCACAAGCTTCATCAAGCTTTGTTCCTGCAATAAGGATTCTTACATTTATATCTCAGCTCTGAGTTTAGCAATCTTCTTCACATGTGCATTCTCATTTCACTCTCACAGCAAACCTGTGAGGTGGGCAGGGCAGCTCTTGGTCCCATGAGGAAACAAATTCAAAAAGGTTTGACTCTAGGAACTTATTAAGGTCCCATAGTCCACAAACAGCAGAGCTGGGACTCAAATCTCTGTCCTGAGATTCCAAGTCCAGGGTTCTTTCTGACACACCAATCCACCTATGGCTTCCTTGTTTCAATGGGGGGCTTCATCTATCAATGGTTCTTCAAGTGGGGTTCCCAGACCAGCAGTGTCCACATCCCCTGAGAAATGCAAATTGGCCAGGTGCAGTGACTCACACCTGTAATCCCAGCACTTTGTAATCCCTGCAAGGCCGAGGCAGGCCCATCACAAGGTCAGGAGTTGGAGACCAGCCTGGCCAATATGGTGAAACCCTGTCTATACTAAAAATACAAAAATTAGCCGGGTGTGGTGGTGCACTCCTGTAGTCCCAGCTACTCTGGAGGCTGAGGCAGAAGAATCACTTGAACCTGGGAGGTGGAGGTTGCAGTGAGCCGAGACCATGCCACCACACTCCAGCCTGGGTGACAGAGAGAGAATCCATCTCAAAAAAAGAAAAAAAAAAAAACGAAGGAGAAAAGAAAAGAAAAATGCAAATTATTTGGCCCCAGCCCGGACCTACAGAACAGGAAACTACAGGGTGGGCCCTGGCAATCTACGCCTTGACAAGCCCTTCAGATGATCTGACGCAGTACAGTGTGAGAACCTGTTCTACAACTTCACTCATTTGATTTTAGGGAACATTTACTGAACACCTGCTATGGAGCAGCACATGCTTGGCTCTGTGAACACAAAGATGAGGAGGTCCTTGCTCTCAAAAACGTTTTTGGAGTGAGTTGGGTGAATATGCAGAGTTGGTAGTATATGTTAAAAGGGAAGGTCCTAATTTGTCCCCCAAGTCTGCAATCTCACCAGCAGCTCATTTATACCTCACCCGGAAAAAGCATGAGAATTCCCGGGCCACAGAGGCCACTTCCACGCAGACACAGCAGATGGGTCTGTCTCCAGTAGTTTTCTCCAATCCAAGAAAGTTATATTGTCATGCTAGTCATACACATTTCCTCCTCCCTCCAGACTTCCTACAGAAAGTTAACCACAGCTTGAAATAACGTGCAGTGTCTCCCTTAGTAACCTTCTTTAATGAGCACAGCTTACCTAATTTACATAGAAGGTTCCCGGGGCCGCTTTCTAAGAATCTGTGCAGAGGTTCCCTTAAAGACATGTTTGTGATTATCTAAACCTGGGCACTGGGATAAAGAAATGTAAAGCAGGTGTTCACCCAAATGTGGGAGGTCTTTTTCTGCAGAAGGATTTTCTACCTTCTAGAAACTGAAGCCATCCTAATGTTCAGAGTGTAGAGAGTGAGAATGAGGACTGGAGGGGTTCGTGGCAGGCCCATGAAGGGCTGCACCCAAACTCAGAGGTGAACAAGCTGGTCACCATCCATCTCATCAAAATGTCCCTCTGAGACCCACTCTCCCCCTCTAGGATTCACCAGGACGGGAAAGATGGCCCAGGCAGCTGCACCTCCAAAGATCAGGAGAAGCCATTAACATCACATCCTCTGTCAGTCACACACAGACACAGTACTGTGTGTCTGAACCTTGAATGTCTTTTATTTCAGGATTAAGAATGGATGATTACAAATGATTTGTGCCATTTCTAGCTTTCCCTTTTGTCCATGTACCCATTATTATTATTTTTTTTTCAAGTGCCAGCATTTAAAAATCCATCCCTGGCCCCAACCCACTAAATGTTTCCAGAGCTCCCCAGTCACATTTCCAAGTGCCCCCAGGGTGGGACCCATCCCTGGTTGTGCTCCCACTGTAGCCCATGCAGGTGGGACTTGAAATCAGCTGTAAATAATTGGTTAGCCCTAGAATTTATTCTGCACCATTATGAATGCCTAGCTCTTTATGTTTTCATTATGATTTCTAAATAGATGAATAGCATCTTAAAGGTGGAGCTCATAAGATGCTCCCTGCCCCCACTCAAAGACTCAGAATCAGAAACTAAATTTACACATCATTTCCTTGCTGGAATTTGCCTCATGAAGGGAAAATGGGCTTTCTGATAAGACTTGAGTGGAAGTCAAAAGTTGAGGGCCCACCTGGACAGTCTCAGCCTTAAGCCACACATTCCTGCCAGGCTGCATGCATGTCAGTTCTAATCAGAGCTAAAATGATGATAGAGGCTGGGGAGAGCTGGTGCCATGCAGGGAGGTATCAAAATGTTCACCTTTCATTTGAATGCCATGTCCTCTAAACAGTGCCTCAGCACTCAAGACACGAGTAGCTAGGAGCTTTCTAAATTCTGAAACCCTCCTCACGGACGATCAGCATACATAAGGAACGTTAAGACTCCACTAATGCTACCATTGTAATTCAGAATTCAAAAGCGGGAATGATAGTACACATGGGAAGACTAGATCGCTGCCTAAATGCTGTGTGAAAGTCTCCTATTAAAAAATACATTCTATTAAAAAATACATCCTCTACTGGCTGGCACTGTTGGCCTGAACAACCTTAGAACAGGAATTATCCCCTCATTGCAGGTAACATGCAAACAGATTACCTGGGAGGAGAATTAAAATAATTCCCAAATATGTTGACTCCCTTTCAGTCTCTTTCCCATTGGCATCAGTTCATTTGCTGGACCATTTTAGCACAGGCTTCAGAAAAGGCAAATGGTAATGGCCAAGGGAAAGGAAATATGCAGCCTGGAGGACAGGCCTGAGTGAGGCTCATGACCAGGAGGCCAGGGAGGACACTGGGTTTCAGGGAGAGACGTGGGGCACGGGGGCCAAAGAAAAACACCCAACTTCATATTTTGTACAGGGAGGGTTCCACACTCGGAGCTTATGTAGACTTCTTTAACCCAAGAAGGAAAGGCTGAGGCTAACTGATGGCCATGATGAAGAGCAGACAACAGGGTACTGGAAACCAAAGAAATGATCAGATGGACTCCATGCGGACTGAAGAGGCCCGAGGGTTCTGGGACAGACTGGAATGTGTGTACTCTGTTATACCAAAGGGTTGGAAGAACCTGGAATAAGCTGTCAGGAACATAGTCTGATCTCATTTAGAGATGGGGTGGGAGCATATGGGCAGTGTGCTGAGTCATACAAAAGAGCATCTTTAAATCCCCTCTCATTCAGTTAATATCCTCATAATCATATGAATGTCCATCTATGTTTCCCAATTGTATTATAACTGTCTTTTTCTATACCTGACTTTCATGTTTTATACAGTCATGCCCTGCATAAGAACATTTCAGTTAACAAGGGGCTGCACATACGACAGTGGTCCCATAAGATCACAATAAACCTGAAAATTACCCAGTGACATCACAGCTGTCGTAAGGTCGCAGACCAATGCATCACTCATGTGTTTGTGGTGATGTTGGTGTAAACAAACCTACCAGTCATAAAAAAGTCTTGCACATATAATTACATACAGTAAATAATACTTGATAATGATAAAACAATTATGTTACTGGTTTATGTGAATAATACTATACTTTTTATTGTTATTTTAGAGTGTATGACTACTTATAAAAAAAAAAAATCCTGTAAAACAGCCTCAGGCAGGTCCTTTGGGACATACTCCAGAAGAAGGCATTGTAATCACAGGAGATGACAGCTCCATGTGTGCTATTGCCCCTGAAGACCTTCCAGCAGGACAAGATGTGGAGGTGGAAAACAGTGATATTGATGATCCTGACCCTGTTGCAGGCCTAGGCTAATGTGTGTGTTTGTGTTTTAGTTTTTAACACAAAGGTTTAAAAAGGAAAAAATAAAAGTAAAAAATGTTTAAATAGAAAAAAAGTTACAGAATACGAATATAAAGAAAATATTTTTGTACAGCTGTACAATGTGCTTGTGTTTTAAGCGAAGTGTTACTCCAAAAGAGTCAAAAAATTGAAAAACATGTTAAAGTTTATATAGTAAAACAGTTACAATAAGCTAAGGTTAGTTTTTACTAATGAAGAAAGAACATTTTTAAATAAATTTAGTGTAGCCTATGGGCAATGTTTCTAAATTCGACAGGAGTGTACAGTCATGTCCTGGGCCTTCACATTTGCTCACCACTCACTGACTCACCCAGAGCAGCTTCCAGTCCTGCAAGCTCCATTCATGGTAAGTACTCTGTACAGACTGACCATTTTTTATCTTTTATACCATATTCTCACTGTGCCTTTTCTATGTTTACATATATTTAGATCTGTAAGTACTTACCATGGTGTTACCATTGCCTACAATATTTAGTAATATGCCATACAGGTTTGTAGCCTAGTAGCAATAGGCTACACCATATACCTAGGTCTATAGCAGGCTCTGCCATCTAGGTCTGTGTAAGTGAATTCCATGTTTGCACAACGATGAAATGCCTAACAATGCAGTTCTCAGAACGTATCCCTGTCGTTAAGCAACGCATGACTATGTTATACTTCAAGTGCACGTAGCACAGCCTGTCTCCAGCCCGTGGAGACCTAGGACTACTGAGGAAAGAAGTGACAGTATCCAAAGGCAGCAGGGATCTTCTAGCTGCAATGCTTTTTTTTCAAGGATTGTCTTTTCCCTGAAATAATTATTTGTATACTTTTTCTCACCCAACCCCTACTCAGAATCCTGGAAGTTTCCTCATGTCTGTAGCCAAAATGCCTCATACTCTGGTAGGTGCCTACCACTCCCTCTTTGTCTCCTCCCATGTCACCATGTCACCAAACTCACACTTTCATTCACCCCTGTGGAACCTATTGGGTCTCAGGGACTATTATGTAAGATACTAAACATCTGTAAGATTATGTATATAGAAAAGTCCTGCTAGCAATTTCATTTTTTAAACTCTCCCACTCTGTACCAGGCTCTGAGATAGGCCCTGGGAAGTAAGAACAAATGCAAAATTCATCTGACTATTGTTTAAATGAAATTGTAAGATCTCAAAGAAAGGTTTGCATTCACAGTTGGCCACCCCAGATCATGGCCCCAGACACTCAGAAGTTCTGTTCACGGTCTTCTGCCATCAGGGCTCCTTGAGTAGACAATCTTGAGAAGTCCAGCAAGGCTGTGAGATAAACTCCAGCGTTCTTTCCTCCACTCAGTCCCCACTCACCCTGAAGCCCCCAGGCCTGGAGAGCCCTCTCTTTCCTCCCACTCGAGTTTCCCCCGTTTTGCAGATCCAACTCCCTCCAGTTGCTTCATCCTCCGTGTGCCCACCTTCTCCACACTCCTGTAGCTCTTTATGTTTCTTACCCCTTATGTGACTGTCTGCAAAAGTTACCTTCTTTTGTTTTCACCTATCTACATTTAAGTCTAAGGAGAGAGACTGCCATGTCTTATACAGTCAGTCAACCTGGCTGGTAACACATTCCTATATAAATACACCAAAGTCAAAAACATGCAAATGTCAAAACACAGGCTTACTTGTTAGGGTTTAAAAACCATAAATACAGCTTTTAAAATATTAGTATTAAAACAATAACCACACCTCCCCCTCTTACACAAAATATTTAATTTACTGGTATCATTCCAGCATTTCAGTCATGTTGCTTAATTTTGTTCTTTTTCTTCACAACCAAACACACCAGCAACTGGCTTAGCTCCAATGAGCAGCCACTAGAGGATAAAGGTTGCCCGACTTTCCACTGAACTGCTCATTTCTGTGTTGTCACAGTTGAATTAAGTTAATGAGACCCACACTTATTATTTGAATCAGCACTTTCATTGTTCTGTTTTTATAGCAAAGTGCCACCAAAGGCTCAAATAATAACACACACACACACACACACACACAACTGTGCAAAGATGACAGCCACACTGCTAAAGTTGAATGAAAGACTGACAAGCATCAATAAATTGTTCAGAATATGGGCTCATCAGCTAATGTACAACGGCCCGAATAAGCGGAGCACAAGAGGAGGGTTTTTACTGGGCGTGGGGGCGGGGGGGTTGTGACGTATAACATACACAATTTCCAATTTTATGGTGGTCAAGGATTGCTTTAACTACTTGCTCACTCCTGACCCCCTGCAGACAGTAGGGCCTCCACTGTCAATGAGAACAATTCACCTCCACAGAATAATATTCCATCCCCCAGATCAGTGGCATACAGCAAACCAATCCTTATACAACAGACAGCAAGAGACCTTTGCAGCAAGAAAACATTTTTCCTCACCCGCTGTGCCTCTGTATTTCCCAACTGTCAGCTTATACCGCTCCTTGCTGGAGGCCACTTGGAAGAAATCATATATAGCATAGGCGGATTCATTGGCAGTCTGTAAATCCACTCTCACCTCATACCGCGTTGGAGTGCCAGTGGTGAGGTTGTGTAGCTTGTCAAGTCCTAAAAATAAAAAACGGAATTCCAACACCCAATCCACCCATGTGTGCGACTGAGTACTCAACATGTGCGTCTGAGGCTTTCAGGACCTAAAGTCACTTTAGTCTTTACCTTCTCTGCTAATAAGGGGCAGTCTCAGCACTTTCTCTTTCAGGGACTCATAGTCACGCTAAGGAGTGTGGAGACCATGTTCTATGGAAGGGAGCAGTGAGGGGTCAGGGTAACCCCAGAAGGAATCTGCCTCCATTGGCTCCATCCCTCTAAAACAGAAGCAGTTGTATTTATCATCCATTTATCTCACCAAGTAGGAGGGCGGGTCAATGACTCATCCTAAGATCCCCGAAGAGATTTTATACTGAACAAACCACAACATCATCTACTCTATTAGACACTGGGTATCTGAATCATGACTTTTTAATTCTTCATTTCCCAATTCATGCTTTTGGCTATTTCCCTCTCTGTGAACATCTGCTCCAGAGGAGAACAGAGGGAAAAGGGGGAAAACATTGCCCACAGTGCCTGGCATCACCACCAGAATTTTAGAGACTGCTAGAGTGACCTTCCAGTAATGACCCAGCATCCCAATCCCTGAACTGTTTTTCTACTACTGTGCCTTCTAAGATCTTCAGGCTGCAGGCAGATCCTGCAGAGCTTAAATCAGCATAAAACCCCTGTGACCACCCTACCTTTCAACAAGTTCAGAGTGCAGGAGAGCCTTCCCATCAACACGCCCACCAAGACCCTGCTCGGCACAGTCCTCTGTCTCCCTGCCACTGGGGCCTCTCTGTGAAGGTGGTGAGCTTCCCTAAGCCTCCTAGCTAGCTTGTCCTGGGAGAAATCACCCCCCACAGCCCCAGCCTCCTGGATTCTGAGATCATACCAAGCCAGAACTCCTTCGTGGGGTCCCCAAAGCCTTCCACATAGGTCCTCCATCGCTTGAAGAAATCCAGCTGCCCAGTGTTCCGCCTCTGGAAGACCTGAGAAGGGAGACGAACACTTCATTCTGACCCTCCAAACAGATATAGGTGCTGGGAGACAAGAGAAAACCAAGAACTTGCTCATACACTGCCTTCCTCCAGCTAGCATGTCTTTCTTTTTAGAGAGGCTTTTTATTTATATGTCAGTAGATTCACTATATTAATAAGCATTATTTATATGTACAGTAGTATGTCAGGTACTAAGGCGTGTAGAGCAAAAGCAGAGAAGCTTCCTGCCCTCAAGAAATTTCAGTTCTTTCCATTATTTGTGTGATTTAGTTGCCAGTGTGGATTGTCTAGGGCAAGACATTCCAGACCTCTGCCAATTCTCACATGTAACTTTCAACACCCATTTAACTCAATTGGGGCACATCACATTTATAGCATCTTTTTTCCCCTTTTCTCAAATAGTTTGAGAGTAGAAATTATTTTTTAATTCACCTGATTCTTAGCATAGTGATTATTTAATACTTATGGAGAAAAAAGTTCACACAACAAGTATTTACTGAGGATCTACTATGCACTAGGCAATATACAAGATAGTGTGCAAAGTGAATAAATCAGAAATGGTCCTTTCCCTCCTGGAGCTAATAGTTCAGTAAATACAATTACTAAATTAAATAATTTTTTAAGTGCAGTTAAAACTGTAATAAGGGCTATGAGGGAAAGATGCAACAGAACTGCAAGAGCGTAAAACAGGAGGACCTGACCAAGGAGCCAAGAAACCACCCCCAGGACATGGCTGAGCTGCAGGATGAGTAGGAGTGGTCAGGCAAGAGCACGGGGAGCAATGTTGGGGCTGCTGGGGGCTGAGGAAGGGATGGAAAGGGAGGCTGAGAAGATGGCAAGAGTCAGTCCTGGTAAGCTTTTAAAAGAGATTGTTGAAGACATTGGTCCAGGTAAGAACGGTGGAAATTATTGCAGAGTTTTAAGCAGGAAATGAGATCTGATCAGATTCATCTCTAGCTATAGTGCATGGAATGGACTGGTCAGCGGTAAGAGTGGAAGTGAGATGACTAGTTAGGAGACCACTGTAGAGTGCAGATGAAGGGGGACAGTAGCTTGGATGAGGGATGCCCTGAGGATAGACGGAAGTGGATAAAAGGTAAAGTTGACAGGGCTGGTGACAGAATGTGGAACTGAAAGAGGAGGAAGTCAAGGTAAGATAAGTTTCTTATAGTTTGGGCTTGCAGATGACTCTTCCCTCAGCTATTCACTGAGATGGGGGATTCAGAGAGGACAGGTTGTAGTTTTTGGGGTTTTTGTTGTTGTTGTTGTTTGTTTGTTTTTTGAGGTGGAGTCTCACTTCATTGCCCAGGCTGGAGTGTAGTGGTGTAATCTTGGCTCATTGCAACCTCCACCTCCCAGGTTCAAGTGACTCTCCTGCCTCAGCCTCCCGAGTACCTGGGATTACAGGCACACACCATCATGTCCAGCTACTTTTTGTATTTTTAGTAGTGACAGGGTTTTACCATATTGGCCAGGCTGGTCTTGAACTCCTGACTTCATGATCCACACACCTCGGCCTCCCAAAGTGAAAGTGTGAGCCACCATGCCTGGCCGAGTACAGATTTTATGAGTGGGTCATGAGCTCATTTGGGGATGTGGTAAGTGTGAGTTATTTCTGAGGTATGCTGGTGAATGAAAATATCACAGAGCAATTGGATGTAAGGGCTGGAGTTCTAAAGAGAGGTCTAGGCTAGACTTATTGAGGTAGAGTGTGTCTCAGGCAATGCTAGGAGTTCACCGAGTCCCAGTTCACTTTCTTCTTCCCAGGAACACAGGAGGATGTCCATTTACAGCTTCCCTTGCATTCAAGTTGGAGCCATGTGACTATTTGCAGCCAAAAGGCTGTAGGTGGGAGCCTTTTGTGTGTGGGTGGGTTCTCCACACTCTCTCTTCTACTGCCATGCACCACAGGGCCATGGGAAAGGCCACACACTGAAACAGCAGAACTATGAGATGGAAACAGCCTGAATCCATGAGTCACACTTGTAACTGGCTGCCAAACCTGCACAACACATTGCACACATGAGAAAAATACATTGTGTTTGTTCAATTGCTGGAATTTAGAGTTGGTTTGTTACTGCAGCATAGCCTATTCTATCCTAGTTAGTGCAGAGAAGCATGGGACCCAGAGGAGGGTAAAATGAAGTCATGGAAAAGATGAGACCATGTAGGAAGAAAATGGGAACTGAAAAGATAAAGTGGCCTAGAATCAAGCCTTGAGGACATCCAGTATGTATAACGAAGAAGGACAAATCCATCAAGGAAAGAGAAGGGGCAACAGAAGTGGAGAAAAAGAAACTAGAAAAATATGGAATCACAAAAGCCACAAAGAGAAAGGTGTGGTCAGTAGTGTCAAGTACTGATGAGAGGTCAAGGAACAGGAGGTCAAAACCATCCCTAGAATTTAGTGGCACAGAAATCACTGGTGATTTTACCTAGGGCTGTGTCAGTGTGAGATATGGACAGAAGCCAAACTGGAACGGAACAAAGAATGAGTGAGAAGCAAGAAAATGGAGGCAGAGTTGGGTACCATTCACCAAAGTGTGGACTGCTTTCTTTTCAAAAATTCCTCTGTTTGGAGAAGGAAGGCACTGTTCCAGTCACAGTAAATTGGATTCTTTTATAGGAAGTAAATCTGAAAAGTACCTACACACACCTGTGTACACTACTGAAATTGATAACACATCTAATTCCACATGACCTTGAGAACCAAGCTGAATACCATCCTAGCTAACCTCAGGAACGATTCCCACTAACCAAAGGCTGGAATTGCATTTCTCTCTCTGCCTATTTTTCTTTGCATTCATTCAGATGCAGAAGCCCCAACACAAAATCTAATCTCCCTCCTTTCCACTAGACTTCACAGCATGTGCCTTGAAGTAAAACACATTATTTTGAATTTATAAGGTAAACCGCCTGACATTTGTGCATTCTTTATATTTTTCTCCGGAAAGAGAAAGGGAGGGAGGAGACAGTAGGTTACCCTGCAGCAATGCTGAGAACTCCACATGGGAATTCATATTTAACTCCTTCCAAAGCACCCATCCAAGTTTGCTGGCCAAGGAGTGGGGCACCATGGATGCAGAAGGCTCCAGGCTCCAAGTCAGACCACAGCCACTTCCTGGGCAGGGGACGGGTGGGATTTGCTGAGGCAGCCTCTTCTATTCCTGACCCTCGGCCAGCTCATGGTAAAACAGGAATGGAAGGGAAGAGAAGAGCCTACCTCATAAGACTGCTGGGAGAACTAAATGAGACACCACATAAAATGTTCTATAAATGGGCAAGAGCTGCCAAACAGAATATAGGAAAGATCACGACAAACAGTTAACACCACGTTAACATTGTTGCTCTCTTTCCCCTTTGCTCAAGGATCCATCTTTTAAAGGTGCCCTGTTTCCTTCTTGGCTTCCCTCACTTTTTTTTCACTCATTTATTCACTTAGATGACAATCATTTCGTGAGCATCTGTTGAGTGCTGGCCCTGGAGCAAGTATTTATGATGCCATTTGACAGATGTGAAAGTCCAGAAAAGCGAGTATCCAGAGTGCTACAGCTAATCACTGATACAGAGACCACGCATAAACCTTATCTTTCTGTCAGAAAGTTTGAAAATACCAGCCCTACTGAATCTGTTTCGCAAATAGCATTTCCAAAGACTCTGAGAACTTGCTAATTTCCTAACAAGGTGCCTGATCCCACCCCTTCCTTGAGACTCTTGTTGTACCGTGGACAGTGGAAATTTAGGACAGATGTAGCACTGATGTATGGCTCCACATACATCGGGTCAAATCACGTTCCCACCACAAGGTCAGGCTCAAATCCAGCCTTTCCTTCCTAGGATGCATTACAAAGGTATTTGGTCTCTATCTCCAATCAATGGACCCAGTGCCCAAGCTTGATAGGAGCTTTCCAGCGGTGTGTGTGTGTGTGTGTGTGTGTGTGTGTGTGTGTGTGTGTGTGTAACAATACTTCATCTGGGCCAGGGAAGCTTCCAAAAATGATTCTGGTGCTCTTTGCATCACCGTTTTGAACCAGAACCAGCTCTATACTTACTAGCTGTGTGCTTGGGCAACCTTGACAAGCCTCACTTTTCCAAACTGTTAGATTAACATGTTAACAGCCTCTCGGTCACAAGCTTAAATCAAGGCTTCAGCAAGGTCATTAATCATAGTAAATCATAAAGTAGTTAAGCCAGACCGTGGCACATAGAGATATAAGAAGTTGTTATGATCGCTCAATAAATGTTGGTTTGCATTTTATTATATCCGTTTCCAAATGAACGGACCCACAGGGACCACTGATGCATCTGGATCAGGCAGCCTTAACTGACTCACTCAGAATCTAAGCCACTCTCATTTGATGAGATGAAAACACCCTATAATGAACTATTAGGGTATCATAAAACCCCCTGACCAAGTAAGTTTCAAAGGGGGGAAAAAAACCTCTTTATGTCTCGTTCTATACTAGAGTGGTCATTGCATTTTAGAACTTATTCAATGCCCTGAATGACTAAATACAGAGAAAAAAAGTCAAACTTGCACTGAAATGTCTGTGGAAAGAGCCTCTAATGCAGCCCTTAAGACTTTCAAGATGGAAAACAAAGATGGAAATATTTGAGACATTAAGTGTTCCCTGATGTTCTTTCCAGCCTCCCACCAGCGGCAGAGTTTACCTCAGGGCACAGTTCTTCTGGTCTGTTCTTCAAATTGAGTTCCTGCTGCTTGGGATGGAAGAATTACCATAAAAGGATTTTAAAAGCTCAATAAAACAGAGAAACTGACTATGGGTCATCCTTCAGTGACAAAGGACTCTTGAACTCCCCCCAAAAAACTATGACAACTGTGAGTAAAATGTTTTGTGGGGAAGTTTTCAGGACTCTGTGTTTTCTGGAGCATGGTGCCTTTAAGTAAAACCCTGCAGAACCTCAGTTCATGCACGACCCCCAGGAATCTGGCTCAGAAAACAAGACTTGGGGTGGGGTTGGGGCTGGGGAGGGTCAGAATGCACAGTGGTTTTATTATTTTTGGAACCAATCTCTGTGTTTGAGGAGGGGTCCTTTCCATGAGCAGGATATAAATGGCAAGCTGCTTGGGGGCAGGGATTTCCATTGGTTTGGTTCACTGCTGGATCTTGAGTACATGAAACAGTGCCTGACACACAGTAGGCACTCAATAAATATTTGTGCAATAAGTCATGACTATTCCAGGGCAGACAGACTGACAGATCTCTTTCTAAATGTTGTCCCAGATAAACGCCTCTTTCTCTGTGGGAGCTTGGCTTACAAAAAGGCCACACTAGACAATACAAACATCCCGCCAAAGGTCAATTATGGGCACAAAGGCAGGAAATTGGACTGCAGGCCTGAAGGGACAGAATGCTTAGCCTTACAATGGTGCTGATGAAAAGCAGCAGGTACAGCCCTATGGGTCTGGTCGGGTAGAGGACCTCCCATGTTACATTCTGTTCTGTTGTTTTTTACATCAATCAAGAATTTCCCCCAACCAATCCAATTACTGCCTTTCAACCGTCAGATGCCGCTGTGCAGATAATAAGTTTTCTTCATTGCTGCTCATCAGATGGTATCTTTTTATTCATGTCTGCTCAAGTGTCTTTGGTTTCCCAGGCCCCTGAGTGAATGTGTAAATGAATAAGGTTTGAGCACTATGAGATCATGCTCTCTCTTTCCCACAGTGACTTGCAGAGGCACAGCAGGTTAAGGCTGCATTGTAGCTTGGAGCAGTGAGAGTCTTTATCATTCAGGCACAGGAAGAAAAGGGGCAAGGGGAGATGGAAGGATCAGATTGCAACCCTCAAAAGCAGCTCATCATATAATTGGATCAGGCTGCTGCAATCAAAGAAGCTGCCATGTGGTTTAGGCAGACAATGGCCCGAGAGAATAAAACGTCTACACAGAAGAGGGACAATTAGAGCATTGCCCAAGTTTCCGTCTTTCAGGCTTTAGTCTTTCCAATCAAAACCTCAAAGGCCTTGTTACTGTACTGTGGAGCCAGGGTACAGAACTTGGACAACAGACTCCAGTTCAGAGGACTGAACTCCCCAGACAGGCTATGCATTTGCATTTTGGATGACCTGAGATGAACTCACTGAGAAGACCAATGAGTTAGGAGGCTGGAGTCTTGAAATCTGGTCCCAGCTTTGTCATTCTTGTATGACTTAGGTCAAGCACTTCTTTCTGTGGGCCTCACTGTCCCTATCTGTAAAATAGGAAAAACAATCCTCTCTCACTTACTCTAAAGCTGTTGTGTGAGGGTCATGTGTTCAAAGTGCTTTGAAGAAGGTAAAATATAGGTAATACATACATATAAGGCATTACTAGATGATGATCAACCCACAAGCCTTCTAGGACAGGGAATAAGTACTAGGCTCTATCCTTACAGTGGGTTGGTGTCAGAGGCGTTTGAACCAGAGCCATCTTGAGTGAGTGCTAAGACAATGGGTCTGGGACTTGCTGGGCTGCATTCCCAGAAAGTTAGGTATTCCGAGCCTCCAGATGTTTATGGTTAAGGGAACAGATTGACAGTGTTTACTAAACAGACCCAGACTTAGGAATGTCCTGATATCCTGATATCTTGAGAACAGAAGCACTCCTAATTTTGCTTTAAATATAATAATATTGATTCTTGCAAAATACAGTAATTAAGAAAATTAATCCTCTATCACAAACCCTTGTAACAGAGTACATCTCCTCAAGATCTTTTTTTATCCTATATATAAACAAGTATCGTACCTAGGGTGCATGCATTCCTCCTTACTTTCAGAAATGCCCTACTCTGTCTATGGAGTAGTTGTACTTTCACCACTTTACTTTCTTAATAAACCTGCTTTTGCTTTGCACTGTGGACTCGCCCCGAATTCTTTCTTGCATGAGATCCAAGAACCTTCTCTTGGGGTCTGGATGGGGATTGCTTTCCTGTAACATTGGGATCTCTCTAAAAACAGCAACAAGCCACCAAAACTCCTCTCTTCCATGGGTGGAGAAGAAATAGGGCTCCAAACACTCTGTGGAGCATCCATGACCGGCATCCTGGGCTGAGAAGCAAGGCCCTATGCAGAGCTCCCCAGGGTTCTGCGTGACTCACAATCCAGCCACCTCCGTCCGTGTCCATGTCGCAGTACACCTGCAGGGGCCGGCTGGAATCGCCATGCAGGTAGATGGTGTACAGACCACTGGCGGCATTGCTGTTCTGCTGAACCTGACTGCAGTCCGAAGGGTGTGGGAAACGGGCACCAACTGGGAGCCAAGCAGAGAGAGTATTGTTAGGAGCTGGGCAAGGAGGAAAGAGGTGGAGTTTCTCCCTATGTTAAGGCAACTTATTTTGTTTGGAAATCATTTTGTAACTTCCTACTTTAGCTTCTTCCAACTCTTCACTCATATCTTATTTTTCTATTCAACTCCCCAAATGTACCAGGAAAAAGTCAAGTTCACATCACTTCCTCCCCCAACTCAACTGCCCCACAAAATAACACTCTCTTTCACTCCTCTCTTTAGCCTCCCCATTGTGGGATGGATTTCTTTTGAACACATAACTCCATTTCCACTTCCCCATGCCTAGAGAAATCAATAGTTCTGCATCCACTTGCTCCTCCCTGGACTGCTTTGCTAGCCTCTCCAATGCTGGTTCTCACTGCATGGTCATTCAGAGCACAGGATTCCACTTTACCTGTGGAGAGGGTGGTGGATACATTTCTGCTCCGGAGACCACCCTTAAAGGCAACAAGGGAGACAGGATAGGTGGCACCTTGCTCCAGGCCTTGCAACTCAAACCTCTGGTCTTCTCGTCCCAGCTGTATCTCCTACCAAACAAGGCAGATAGTAGATAGCTAGTGACTCAGTTTATCACCCACTAGCACCCTAGGTGTCAACAGCATTCCCGGGTACTAATGACAGAAGCTCTCTGAGGGCACAGTCTTTTGTCTCTCTGAAGCCTCAGTGGCAGCCCAGAATCACAGTGGGTCCCAGCCACTTCTCTGGAGAGCCATGCCATGGAGAGTCAGCACCACTGGGAGCATCAGCTGAGAGCCAGTACCCAGGACTGCAGCTTCAGGATTACCGGCCAAGTTTCTGGGATACTTTGGCCTTCAGATACACACAGGGGCTCTAACTACAGCCATCGCTGGCAGCAACAGGCTGGCAATGCCGGGCTAAGAAGAAATTAATAGGGGAGGTGAAACTGGCCACTGATATCTGAGACAAGGAGATAGTTGGTATTTCAATAAACTTCCTTCTGAACCAGTCTTACTTCCTCTATAAACATAGGGCTAATCTTCCTAGCGGTGCTGTCATAAGCACTAATTAAGATAACAAATAAACCTAAGTGTCCTTCCTGTTTTTCCTTCCTCCCTTCTTTCTTCATTGGCAAGGAGGGAGAATAATAATTTTCCATTGGGACAGGCTTTGAAAATTTGCTGGCCTTCAGATTCTAAGGGGAGCTATAACCCTTGAAATAAGGGTTAATCAATTCGTTCGATAAATATATATCAAACACCTACCATGTGCTAAGCACTGTCCTATGCACTTTAGATATGGTGATAAATGAAACAAACATAGAGCTTACATTTATTAAGGAAGACTAACCATAAACAAAATAACCCGGAGCAGATGTACAAGCAGCAATGTGATCAATAAAGATCAGCAAGCTGCCATGAGGCCACCAAATGAGCGGATTGGCCCAAGTTAGTTGCTTCACACAGAAGAGAAGGCACCAGGAGAAAAGACAAGGAATCCCCCGTACCTTAACTGTGCCGTCTGGGAACTGGTAGGTCAGAATGTAGCCATGGATCTGAGCAGAGGGGGGTGTCCAGGTCAATACACCACCAGACTGCGTTACAGCAGATGGACGAAGGTTTCTGGGAGGGTCAATTTCTGTACGTAGAAAGTCAGGTAATTGTTATTACTAAGATACAACTGAGGCAAGGTAATTTTTGAGATACCAGTTTATATTTTCCCCTTTCAAACCCTCCCATTTCTCCTCCTTCTTTCAAGCAGTTTGCAGACTCTCTTCTTCCCTGCCACAGGGCCTTTCTGACCTTTGTTTCTAAAAGTACAGACCCATTAGAGACAAGAAGAACAGGGCATTGGGTGGGTCCCAGAGGAAGGGAAAGAGAAAGAAAGAAAGAGAGAGAGAGAGAGAGAAGGAAGGAAGGAAGGAAGGAAGGAAGGAAGGAAGGAAGGAAGGAAGGAAGGAAGGGAGGGAGGGAGGGAGGGAGGGAGGGAGGGAGGGAGGGAAGGAAGGAAGGAAGGAGAGAAAGGAGGAAAGAGAGAAAGGGAGAAAGGGAGAAGGAAAGAGAAAGAAAGAAAGAAGGAAAGAAAGAAAGAAAGAAAGAGAAAGAAAGAAAGAAAGAAAGAAAGAAAGAAAGAAAGAAAGAAAGAAAGAAAGAAAGAAAGAAAGAGAAGGAAGGAAGGAAAAGAGAAGAAAGGAAGAGGTGGGGGAGGGAGGAGGGAAAGAGAAGGGATATAGGAAAAGCAGAGCTTTTCTTCAATGTACTTCCTCACCCAAACACTAGAGGGAAAGCAAGTGTGTAAGCAAGTGTGGGTAAGCAAGTGTGCACTGTAGACCAGGAAAACGAAAGCTCAGTAAAAATACTAGTCAACATCATAACTGGTCAGAAGGCTCTTTTTTTTTTAACCAAAGAAGATATGAATGGAAATTTCTTTTTTGAAAAAGCATTATCACAGAAGGTTATTTTAATTTAGAACTTCCCAAAAAGACGCCTCCAGGCTATTTTCTACCCAGTAGCATTTCAGCTGAGAACTGAATTGCAGTATTTTAATAGAAATCAGACAGCTGTTGTTTTGAATTAGTATGTTTTGACAAATTTTGAGTTTCTGTAATATCAACTTGGTTTGATTTTCTAAAGCATAACATCTGGCATGGATTTTATTCTAGTCGTCTCACAGAAAAACCGAATTTCCTGATTTCATAATCAAGGCAAAACTGTGGCTATTTTAATATCTTAAGCAATCTCCTGCCACCTCTTTGCCCACCACCCCCTGGTTATGGACTAGAGATGTATGTCTTAGTTACTTTCACATTTCTATGGAGCAGGAAAATAAGAATTTTTTTTATTGCTGTCTTCAAAAATGGAGAAGGTGAAACCAAGAGAAGATAAAGAAGAAAGAGGAGAAGAAAGGAATAAGGGAGAAAGGAACAGAGAAAGGAAGGGGAGAAGGAGGTAGGAAGTGGGAAAAAGGGAAGGAGGGAGAACTGGCTACTGGTTGCATCTGGAGAGCAACACTGCGTACTAGGGAGTCCAGGACAAAGAGAAGAATTGTTTGTTTGTTTGTTTGTTCTTGAGATGGAGTCTCGCTCTTGTTGCCCAGGCTGGAGTGCAATGGTGCAATCTTGGCTAACTGAAACCTCCTCCTGGGTTCAAGCAATTCTCCTGTCTCAGCCTCCCAAGTAGCTAGGATTACAGGCACCTGCCACCACACCTGGCTAATTTTTGTATTTTTAGTAGAGACAGGGTTTCTCCATGTTGGTTAGGCTGGTCTCAAACTCCTGGCCTCAGATGATCCGCCCGCCTCGATCTCCCAAAGTGCTGGGATTACAGGCATGAGCCTCCGTGCCCAGCCATTTTTTTTTTTTTTTAACACATCTCTGTTTAGTTTGAAAATATTTACTACAAGCATATATTACCTTTTAGATTAAAAATGCAAGTTAATTTTAACTAATAAAGATCATAGAGAAATTCAAGACATCTCTAGGTCCTGTGGCAACATTTGGTGCATTCAGCCAAGGATGGAATGGACAGACCTTGCCCGCACTGCCTGAAGAGGCCCACAGACCTCAGGGTGGGCACAGTGCTGTCTTCCAAGTGCTTCTGGGTTCTGACCTCCCTGATGCTCCGCCAAGACCAGAGGCCCCATCACACACACAAAATACATGCAGTTCAGGTGCCTTTCCTCCTCAACTGAGGATGGAAAGGAGAAAGATGCACCCCCTTTGCCTCCATTGTGGAAGATGGAAACAGAAGAGGCTCCTGCCTCTATCTTCTCCCAACTGCAGCTAAGGCCCAACCATTTTCTCCATAGCAAGTGTGGAGAGTATGAGCGCTGGGCCAGGTGGAGGGGTGAGGGAGGCCGCCTTTGACACCAGCACTCCCTCTACACTCTCTTAGCTATGTTGTTGGGTCAACTTAATTATCTCAAAGACATAAAAAAGGAATCACTTTGAAGAATGCCCTCGGGTAAAGCAACCACCCTCCTGCTCCCTTCCCCAGCCCATGGAGGAAGGTTCTCTCCTGGTAAGTGTGAGGGGTTCCCCTGGCCTGGTCCCTCTCAGTACCTGTCTGGGCCTTGGTGTCGGCCTTCTTGCTCTCCTGGTCCCCCTTCTGGGCCCACACGTGCACCATGTACTCCATGCCCGGTCTCAGGCCCGTCAGGACGGTGCTGCTGTGCTCCTTCCCCACCGGAACCTCCCTGGTCTCTCCATCCGCAGAGGTGTAGCGCACCACATACTTGTCAATCGTGGCCTGCACCGGGTCCCAGGAGACAGTGGCCATATTCTCTGTCACCCGGTCAGTCACCAGGTTTTTGGGGCTGTCAATTTCTTTTTAAAAGGATTTAGAAAAGGCTGAACTTTAGAACAAAGGAGGGCATCCCATCTTACCACCCCATCACCAGGTGCTCTCCATCATGTTATCATTAATAACGGTAGAATTCTACTTAAAACACCAGTCAAAGGCCCCTGGTCTCATTTCCAAGGAAACAAACCACTGGACATAAAACTGGAAGGAATCAGATCTTCTCCCAGTTTTTATATATAAAAAATTTCTGTCCTTGTAATTCTCATCAAAATAACAATAAAACTTGCTAAGCAACAAGATGAGCCACCAAAACTGCTGTGGATATAACCTCTTTTCTGATCTCCCTGGTATCTAGTTACTTTGAGAGTCGAGGTCATATCCTCCAACCTTTCTGACTTATAAAACAGGAGGAGAATGCAGGCCCAGGGAAATGGAGGGTACAGGCTAAGTTCCTGTTGACATCTTATGTTAAAGTCAAGACTCTTCACTCTGAATTTTGGGCCCTCCCACCCTCTCAAGGACTTTGCTGCGGATCTGCCCTTTCTCTCCTGTGTCATCAATCTCCTCTTCTCTGTCATCAGTCCCAGACAAGCAAGGTCTAGAATCCCCCATCCTCCCCCATATCATTCCATTTCTCTGCAACCCTAAACTGACAGATTGTCTCAAGAGAAATGTCTACATACCCAACTTCACTGCTTACTCTCCAATCAATTGTGTTTGCATCTTTCTATGCCACACAACTAAATCTGCTAGTCTAAGTCACCAACAACATCCGTATTGCCACCTCTAATGGATACTTGCCTTTCTCAACTTTACACTGCTTCTGGGTGGCATTTGGCAGAGCTGATCCACGCCCTCCTTCTTGAAACACTCTCAACTCTCAGCTTCCGTGACTACACACTCCCTTGATTTTCCTAACTCACTGGCTCTTCTTCAGTCGTTTGTCAGCAACCTTCAAACACTGGAGCACCCAAAGCTCCCTTTCTTTGTTGTTTGCTTTGTTTTGTTTTGTTGATACAGAGTCTCGCTCTTTCACCCAAGCTGGAGAGCAGTGGTGCCATGATAGCTCACTGCAGCCTTGACCTCCCAGGCTCAAACAATCCTCCCACCTCAGCCTCCTGAGTAGCTGGGAATACAGGTGCATGCCACCACACTCAGCCAATTTTTGTATTTTTTTTGTAAAGACAGGATTTCACCAGGCTGGTCTTAAACTCCTGAGCTCAAGCAATTCACCTACCTTGGCCTCCCAAAATTCTGGGATTACAGGTGAGAGCCACTGCACCTGTCCCAAAGCTCCCTCTTTTCCTCTCTCTGCTTTTCCGCCTAGGTGATCTCACTCATGCCCGTGGCTTTAAATACCAACTAGATGCTAATCGCTCCACAATATCTATTAATTCTGAGCCCCTCACTAGTTTATACAACTGCATCTCCACCACAGTGCCTGGCCTGTATTAGACACTCAATACATATTTATGTAATCAATAAATGAATCACTCAACTAACAAGGAATCTCACAAGTATCTTGAACTTAAATATTTAAAAGTCTTGATGTTCCTCCCCGAACTTTTTATTTCTCAGTCTCCCCTCTCAAGAAATGGTAGTTCAATCTCCCATGTTGCTCAAATAAATAACACAGGTCATACCTGAGTCCTCATTTTCTTCCTACCTCAAATCTATCAACAGGTATTATCATCCATACCTCAAAAATATATTCCAGACATCCCCTCTTCTCTATCCCTTTTGCCATCACACTTATCTAGACAATCAGCATTTTGCACCCAGACTTTTCTAGCAGCTTCTCTACGAATCTCCCCACTTCTATCCTTGTCATTTTATCCATTTATTCTCCTCACTGTGGCCTGGAAAGTGTTTTTTAAATGAACACTGCATCATATCACTCTTCTACTATTAATAAATATAGCCCATTTTGTCCTCTAAGTACCAAACGGTCCTGACTGACCTGCCCCTGCTCCTCCCACCTCATCTCAGGCTACTTGCTCTCCTGCCCACTATGCTCCAGCAAAACTAGCCTCTTTTCATTTTCCAGCCATCCCCGGTACTGTTCTAGCTGAGGGACATCACACATACTCTTCCCTCTGCCAGAAATGGCTAGTTTTCATCAACATCCATTCTCCCCCTTCTTCTGTAAGCATACTCACTGTCCAACAGATCTCTCTGCAATGATGAAAGTATTCTATGATCGGCACAGTCCAATACCACAATTTTATTAGTCACATGTGGCTACTGACCATTTGAAATGTGGCTAATCCAAATAAGAAAATTTTTTATTTTAATTATTTTTAATTAATTAAAATTTAGGCTGGGCATGGTGACCATGCCCGTAATCCCAGCACTTTGGGAAGCCGAGGCAGGAGGATCACTTGAGCCCAGGAGTTCAACATAGTGAGACCCCATCTCTAAAAATAATTAAAAATTAGCCAGGCTTAGTGGCATGTGCCCATGGTCCCAGTTACTTGGGAAGCTGAGGTGGGAGGATGGCTTGAGCCCAGGAGGTCAAGCCTGCAGTGAACAGTGATAATACCACTGTACTCCAGCCTCGCTAACAGAATGAGACCCTGTCTCTGAAAATAAAATAAAAATAAAAATAATTTTAATAGCCACATGTAGCTAGCAGCTGCTGTGTTGGACAGGACAGCATAACTGAAGTAAAGCTGGGCACAGGGCCATCCAGCTAAAGACCTCATTTCCTAGCCTTTTGTGCAGTAAGGTCTGTCTGGGACCTGGCAATGGAACATGAGAAGGGCTGATGTGTACAATGTCCCAGTGATGCCCTGACCTTCAGCATGCCTCTTCCCACTGGCTACAATGCAGACAGGGTGGTGACCAGGTAAAGGAGGGCAACTTGCTAGGGATGACTAAGCAACAATCACAGAAGCAGCCTGGGTGTCCTGGATGAGGAGCGACCGTATCAGCCCTGGCCATTCTTCAGAGAGGAATACACTCCTTTCCTGCTGAAGCAACTGTTGTTTGAGTGTTTCTGTCAATGTATAGCAATAGCATAGCAATCCTATTACTACTCACCCTTCCCATCTACAAGACATCCTTACCCTGTAATTCTCTATACCTATACCATGTTCATCTCCTTCACATAATTTAGCACAATTTACGGGTTTAAATGTGTTTTCTTATTTATTGTCTATCTTCACACTAGACTTCAAGAGAGTAGAGATATTTGTTTTGTTCGCCACTGTGTTCCCCAGGCCTGGCACTTAGACGATACTCACTAAAAGTCAGTTGCCTACTGCAAGGAAACAGGGCTCCAGCACCCAGGTGAATACTTGCTCCTTTCTATTACACAGCGTCTATTCTGTCAAACCTACACAAAATAGCTTGCCACAAAACAGGTTTTTAATCAGTGGTTTTAAGACTTTCATATTGGTTTTACATTATTTTCTATAATTGTCTATAGCTGAGAGACACAATGATTGAAAACACAGGCTTTGGAAAGAGTTCCAAGACATTTGTGGGAAAAGACATTCGTGGGACTGCTCCCACTGGGTCCAGTACTGTAGTTTTTCAGACACGCTTGAACCAGAGCAACTCCATCTTGAACAGGAACTGGGTCAAATAAGGGTGAAACCTACTGGGCTGCATTCCCAGACAGTTAAGGCATTCTAAGTCACAGGATGAGACAGGAGGTCAGCACAAGATACAGGTCATAAAGACCTTGCTGATAAAACAGGCTGCAGTAAAGAAGGCAGCCAAGACCCACCAAAACCAAGATGGCAATGAGAGTGACCTCTGGTCATCCTGACTACTATACTTCCACCAGCGCTATGACAGTTTACAAATGCCATGACAATGTCAGAAAGTCACCCTGTATGGTCTAACAAGGGGAGGTATGAATAATCCACCTCTTGTTTAGCATATCATCAAGAAATAACCATAAAAATGGACAACCAGAAGCCCTCGGGGCTGCGCTGCCTATGGCTAGTAACCATTCTTTGATTCCTTTACTTTCCTAATAACTTGTTTTCACTTTACTCTATGGACTCGCCCTGAACTCTTTCTTCCATGAGATCCAAGAACCCTTTCTAAGGGTCTGGATTGGGACCCCTTTCCTGTATCCTGTAACACTTTGTTCTTTCTTTAGGTGAATGAAAGTGTTTGTTTTGTTTTTTGTTTTTGTTTTTTTTTTTTTACAGCAAACTCTCCTAAAACACTCTGCAGCCCTGCGGTTACAGATGCCAAAAGCAGCTGCATCACCACTCAACTGCAATAGATCAACCTGCATTAACTACCCCGGTTTGCTCTTCTCTTCACTCCTATTACCTGTCTGGGCCTTGGTGTCAGCCTTCTTGCTCTCCTGGTTCCCCTTCTGGGCCCACACGTGCACTGTGTACTCCACGCCTGGCCTCAGGCCCGTCAGGACGGTGCTGCTCTGCTCCTTCCCCACTGGAACCTCCCTGGTCTCTCCATTGGCAGATGTGTAGCGCACCACATACCTGTCAATGGTGGCCTGCACCAGGTCCCAGGAGACAGTGGCTGTATTCTCTGTCACCCGGTCAGTGACCAGGTTTTTGGGGCTGTCAATGTCTGGAAAAAAAAAAATGCTGATCAATATGCACTATGAACAGGTCCCAGAGTGCAGAAACTCATGACCATTTTGCGTGGAGTGAAACCCTTTCATGTTTTATGGGGTTTCCGCCTCATATGCTCTTGTTTTGTTTTTAGCTGGTTCATGGACATCATCTTCTCCCCGGAGATACACCAGGCTCCTCAAGTGAAAAGCAAAATAGATCAGAAACTGAAAATCCAGGCTGTTACCTCTACCAAGTCTTTAGCAAAACAAATCTTTTATTCATCTAGAAAGGGTATATCAAGCCCCAACTCTATGCACGAAATGTTCTAGACAGTGTGCAGAATCCAGAGTTGGGAAATACATGGTTTCTGCTCACAAGGAACTAACAATTTTGTGTCTGGCATCATGTCAGTAAAGACCTCCTATTTCATACTAGAAGATTCTAAAAGCCACCCCTAAATATAAGCCCCTGGAGGGAAAGGGCAGCATCCTATTCTCCTGTGTTCCCAGTGCCTAGTAGTGGGCAGGACACATGGAAAGTACTTACTATATATTATTAAATAAATCAGCAAAAAGTAAAACCCTGGGTGAATATTCTCTAGTATATCATAGATTCACTCATCATGCTGGTTTGCTGATTAAATCACGGTACAAAATATGGTTAGATATCGCTTCCACTAAAATAAGAATATAACGCAAGAGCTGTCCTAATCCTCAAAACTCTGGCCAATGTATACTCTGCTGTTCCACAGAGGGGAACATGCTCTTTTCTTGTTTAAGCAACAGTTATTTGGTTGTTCTGGTCATGTGTATCCTATTGCTATTTACCCATCCTATCTGAGAAACATCACTACTTCATTATTCTCTACACCTACACTGTATCATCTCCTTTATAGAACTTATCATAATTTCTAGTTATAAATTTGTTTTATAGTTATAATATGATTCATTTGTCATAAACCAAATGATATACATCTCCTTGCTATGGCAGATGTGACGTCTACATTCTTAAAGTCAAATTTTCAGTATACTATTGACAAAATTTGATTTTCATTTTCTGTTCCCACTCACAGACTCACTAAGAGACCCTTGATACTGTCTACGGCAAAAGATCCATGCAATCAGAAGAGGAGCTGATGGACATGACCATGTAATCATAGCTTGGAGACTGCCATGTGGCCCTGACTTGCAAGGAAACTAGTTAAAGGAAAATGAGGGATGGTGTGTGTAATCTGTTATGAAAGGATGGACGCCATCCCACTCTTCCATTAATCATTGATTTCTGCCAATGTCAGAGAAGGAAAACAAAACTTGTCATCCATTGACTTAGCATGAAAGCTCTTATATTCCCAAAGAACAATGCTCCTTACCTGTCTGGGCCTTGGTGTCAGCCTTCTTGCTCTCCTGGGCCCCCTTCTGGGCCCACACGTGCACCGTGTACTCCACACCAGGCCTCAGGCCTGTCAGGACAGTGCTGTTCTGCTCCTTCCCCACCGGAACCTCCCTGGTCTCTCCGTCCTTGGCAGAGGTGTAGCGCACCACATACCTGTCAATAGTGGCCTGCACTGGGTCCCAGGAGACAGTGGCCATATTCTCTGTCACCCAGTCAGTCACCAGGTTTTGGGGGCTGTCAATGTCTGAAAAAAAAATTGCTGATCAATAAACACTATTGACAGGTAGCAAAGAGTGAGATCTGGGCATTTCACTTGTGGTGAGGCAGTTTCCTGTTCTTATGGTTTCTCCATATCACACGCTAGTTTTCAGTCATTTCATGGATGTAGACCTTATCCCCACAGCTGGATTCTTGGATTTTCAATAAAGCAGCACAGGAGAGTGGTATGAGTACTAAATCCAAAGTCAGAAGAACTGGGTTCTAGTTCCAGCCCAGAGAGGCAGAGTAGAGGTGCAGGGTGGAGCCAGGTTACTAGCAATCTAATCCCAGCTCTGCCGTCTGCCAGCTGTGGCTCTGGACAGTTCAGTTGCTGCTGGCTGGGCCTCAGCTTCTTCATCTGTAAAATCTGAGGTTTGGGTTTGATAAACTTTTAAGATTCCTTCAAGCATGAATATTCCATGCATGTAACTAATTTCATAACTTACTAACTTGTTTTTGTGACTTTGGGCAAATTGCTTTACTTTACTTCTGTATTTGTTAAAAGTGGTTGTTAGTGATTATTGCACTTACCACACTCTGAGTAGCTCTGTAAACCAAGAGAAAAAAATGTTATGTAGCAAAGGGCTTTGAAAATGTTAAAGTATTACAGTGTTTACCACTCTGAAGCCACAGAATATTTACTCTATAATTTAAAACGTAATCAAGGGCAAACCTACCTCTCTGCCTCATTTTCTCCACAAGAGAAAAAAAGGCAGGGAAAAATAATATTAGTACATATTCTACAGAATTATTGTGAGTATTATATGAGTTAATAACATGTTTCCTAGTGTGATGTCAGCAAGATGGCCAATTAGAAATCCCTGACACTCGTCTTCTGCACAGAAACAACAACAACAAAGAATAAACAACAATATTTTTTTAAAAACTAAAGGAGAGTGCAGGATTATATCAAAGGAGAAACAGAAACTCTGGTAAGCACAGAAACTCAGGATAGCCAGATAGAGAACAGAAGGAAACCCTGGGATCCCAGCACTCCATTGCCCAGCTAAGAGCAGCTGGAAACCAGGAAGAACTTCTCCCTACAGCAAAAGGTAAGCAAGAAGATCCCAGTAGCCCCTATCAGCACCTTGTACACCTACCATCATCACCATTGGGATCTCCTACAGCTCTCACAGGCACTAAGCCCAGCTGAGGGAGCTGCCTACAGGCACACAACTATGCTCCTTAGAGATGGAGCCAATACTGTGCCCCATCCTCTGTGGCCTGCATGGCTACTGTGCTACACCGTCTTGGCATCTTGGAACCGGGACTACTGTTGGAATGTGTCTTGCTCTGGGGGTGAGTAGCCATTCACCCCTTCATCCCTGAGGGTAAACTGCTGCTGAGACACCACCACTCAGTGACCTGACATCTCCAAGCAGAGCTGTGAGCAACTGTTACACCTTTCCCCATGGGGCCAAGCAGCAGTGGAACCACTTCACATCCCCATCCCCTACGCACTCATTCCAGAGCTGAAGCTGTACCCTCTTCCCTGGAGAATCAGTACTTTGGTAAAACAGCTCCACCCACTTCTCTCACACTAGGCAGCACCCTACCCATAGGGGCCTAAGCCGAAACTGCACTAGTTTCAGTTCCTAAGTGAACAATGCTTTTAGCAGAGCCCTATATCCCAGGACAATGGTGTTGAGGCTATCTAGAATAGTCACATCCCTCAGGACTGAACTGGAGTGGCACATTGCCTGCTGGGGAATCAGTGCCTCAGCCAAGCTGAGCAGCTGTATATCCTAGGGCTGTGCTGACATAGTATCCTAGGTCCCAGGGAAATACAGCAGTGGCTGGCTGAGACACCCCACCTTACTGGCCAGACAGCTCTAGTATTCTGCTTCTTTAGAGCTGGAGTAGGCCCCTTGAGTCTGAGCTCCTGAGACACCCTTCTCCCAGGGAGTAGAGTCATTGCTGTGCTGCTCCCTGCCCTGGTACAGTCCAAAAAACAGTGTGCTTGATTATTTTGGGGAGCTTGCTGCTGCTGCATCTGGCCTCACAGAGACTGGGATACTGTCAAGTCCCACCACTGCAGAGTCTAGAATCACCACTACAGAATTCCTCACCCCTAGGGATCCAAGTTGCCACTGAACTCTATTGGTGCAGTTTCCCAAATTACAGCAATTACAGCCATATCTTGCACTCTGGGTTCACACTTCCAGAGCCCTTCTTTCTCTTCCAAGTTAAACCAGGGCTGCACCCTGCCCACCAGGGGTAGAATTACAGTTACAACCTGACCCCCTGAAGCCAAGCTGATAGGCACCATGGGCAACCTATATCCAGCCCTGACACAGAGACCACTCTGCATCCCAAGACTGAAGTGCCACTATAGGTTCATAAGACCCTGAGCCTAAGTAAGAACTTGCCCCATAGTTGCTTTGAGCACCTGTACTTGAAATCCAGTGCCTTGGCAGCTGCTTCTATGCCATGTCAGACCTGACACCAAGAGAGAGCCCTTCAGCTAAGTCTTCCCATTATGGAGAAAATAAGAATAGAATAGCCCTTGCCACAACAGCCCTTACCACCAAGGACATTAACAACCTATGCTGCCACCACCACTACCACAAACGTCTGTAGTCTAGGCCACTGATATGTTCATAGTTATTGCTGATGTCAAACACAGTCAAAGAAGCTGCACAAAGACTATACCACTGAACTTACAAGAACCACCCTTCCCAACTGGCGCATTAAAATTCAACCAAGGTAAAAGTATTTCTCTAAGAAAGTCACTCTAGAAAGTTTGGAAGAAGCAATTGTTCAACCAGACACACAGACCTCAATGCAGGGACACAGGGAACATGAAGAAAGCAAGAAAATATGACACCACCAAAGGAACATAATAACTCTCTAGAAACAGACCCCAATTAAAAACAAATCAATACATTGTCAGAAAAGGAATTCAAAATAATGATCTTAAGGAAACTTAATGAAATTCAAAAAATACAGACAGACAATTTGATGAAATCAGAAAAATAATACATGATATGAATGAGAAATTCAATGAAGAAATAGATATCACAAAAAAGAAACACAGCTAACAAATTCAAAGAATGAAATTTAAAAATATAATGAAGAATTTCAACAGCAGATTTGATCTAGCAGAAAAAAGGAATCGCTGAACTTGAAGATAAATTGTTTGACATTACCCAGTGAGAGAAAAAAAGAAATAAAAATGAAAAAGAGTAAAGAAGGCCTACAAAACCTATGGGATACTATTAAGTGAATAAATATTCATATTATAGGAGCTCCAGAAAGAAAAAAGATGTAAAAAGGTATAGAAAACCTACTTAATGAAATAATAGCTGAAAACATCCCAAGTCTGGGGAGAGATATGAATATTCAGATCCAGGAAGCTCAAGTCCCTAAATAGATCCAACCCAAAAACGGTGCTTCCTGAAGTATATTATAGTCAAGTTGTCAATAGTCAAAGACAAAGAGAAAATTCTCAAAACAGTACAAGAAAAGTGTTAGGTCACATATAAGGGAATTCCCCTTAGACTAACCATAAATTTCTCAGCAGAAATCTTATAGACCAGGAGAGAAAGCGATGATATAGTCCATGTATCTGAAAGGGGTGAAAAAAACTGTCAACTGAGAATACCATACCCAACAAGTCTATTCTTCAGAATGAGGGAGAAACAAAGTCTTTCCTAGAAAAGCAAAAACTGAGGGAACCCATCACCACTAAACTGGCTCTACAAGAAATGCTCAAGGGAGTCCTACATCTGGAAGCAAAAAGATGATAATCACAATCATGAGAACATAGAAAAGTATAAACTCACTGGCAGAGCAGATACACAAAGGAGAAAGAAAAGGATCAAGCCTCAATACTACAAAAACCTACCAAACCACAATAATAAACAATAATAGAAGAAGAAATTAACAAAGGATATACAAAATAATCTAGAAAACAATTTACAAATGACAGGAGTCACTCCCGTTCTATCAATAATAACCTTGAATGTAAATGGATTAAATTCCCCACTTAAAAGATAGACTGGCTGAGGCCGGGCACAGGGTTCATGCCTGTAATCCCAGCACTTTGGGAGGCTGAGGCAGGCTGATCACTTGAAGGTCAAGAGTTTGAGACCAGCCTAGCCAACATGGTGAAATCCCATCTCTACTAAAAATACACACACAGAAAAAAATTAGCCAGACGTGGTGGCACATGCCTATAGTTCCAGCTACTTGAGGGGTTGAGGTGGAAGAATCACTTGAACCTGAGAGGCAGAGGTTGCAGTGAGCCGAGATTACACCACTGCATTCCAGCCTGGGCAACAGAGTGAGGCTTTGCCTAAAAAAAAAAAAAAAAAAAAAAAAAAAAAAGACAGACTGGCTGAATGGATCTTTAAAAAATGACCCACTTATGTGCTACCTACAAGAATCTTCCTTCACCTGTGGAAACACATATAGATGCAAAGTGAAGGGATGGAAAAAGATATTCCATGTAAACAGAAACCAAAAGCAAACAGGAGTAGCTATGCTTACATGAGATTAAACAGATTTAAGGCAAAAGTATAAAAAGAGGCAAAGGAGGTTATTATGTAAAGAAAAAGAGATCAATTCAGCAAGAGGATACAAGTGAGATTTATCCCAGGGATGCAAGAATAGTTCAACATATACAAATCAATAAATGTGGCACATCACAAACAGAATGAAGAATAAAAATACCATCTCAACAGAATGAAGAATAAAAAGATCATCTCAACAGATGTAAAAAGCATTTGATAAAATTCAACAATGTTTCATGATAAAAACTCTCAACAAGCTAGATATAAAAGAAGCATACCTCAACACGCTAAAGTCCATATAAGACAAAGCCACAGCTAACAATGCACTGATTGGGGAAAAACTGAAAGCTTTTCTCTAAGAACCAGAACAAGACAAGGATGACCACTTTTACCACTCTTATTCAACATAGTACTGGCAGTCCTAGCCAGAGCAATTAGGCAACAGAAAAGAATAAAGAGCATCCAAATTGAA